CCCCCGCATCCGGATCCACACCCTTCGGGGCTTTTGTTGCGCCTCGGAGGTGGCAACTGATCCGCATCCCACCAAGGCTCAGCCTCCTCTCCTGGCTCTCTTGCAACTTAATCTGTTTGCTTTTGCCATGATGAGTCCTTCCCAGCCGTGCGTTACGAGGGCAAACACAAGAAGGTGCAACGCCTTGCCTAGCCGGATGCAGCCCTCTCTTGCTCCAGGCCAGGTAGCAATGGGCCTTGCTTGGTGGGAAAAGAGGAGAAACACCCAGGTTATGAATGGAGGGATGAGAAGTCAAGCCCTCTTGCTGGAACCAAGTTGGGCTCCAAGAAGGAAAGCTCTTTCTCACGGGTCCAACTTCAAACCATGAAGCTGGCTTTGCTGGAGAGTGCAAACAAAGAAGGGGAAAAAAAGGATGAGTTGGTGGGGGAAAAGCTCCAGGAATTAGATTTCCCATCCATTTGGACCCATTCTCAAAACCGTTGATCTGAAATGTAAAAATTTGCTGCTTTTTAAATAGGCCTGGCATCCTCTTGGCACATTCAAATTGCCAGGTCTCAGTGCATGGCTATGAATCTCCAGTTTCCATGCTCCAGGCAGGAGACAAAGAAGCAAATTCTCCAGTTTTGGAGGGCTGAGCTCCGGACAAGATCAACAAATCAAGGCCAAGAGTTGGAAGGGACCTCAAGGGTCATCTAATCCAACCCCCTGCCATTCAGCAACACACAAATAAAGCCCTCCTGAATGGTGGTTACCCAACTTCTGTACTAGGAGATTCTCTGCACATGTTCAGATGCATGGCCCAGAGAAACGTATTGATGATTTGAAACCCTAAGCTCTCAAGATATTTGGCTTTAGAAGAGAAGGTTATTCAGCATCCCTTTCAAAGCCAGTGTTATTGCAAAGCAGCATCCCTGGGGCATATGTCCACTCTGGAGTAAACCAAAGGGTGCTCAGCAATGGCTCCTCTTCATCCTGCAGAAAAGTGCAGAAAAGTGACCAGTGGGGTGCCTTTTCTATTCTGGGCCAGTACTATTCTCCATCATTATCAATGATTTAATGAAAGAATAAGGGACATACTTTTCAAATTTGCAGATCCTCCACCAAATTAGGAGGA